GTTTCTCCTGCCAATCGTCATTCCACCCATTGCTCCACAATCTATCATCTGTCATCTGGGAGTGGTACAATAGGCCAATAGTGGCCACAGTACCAAATAGACTCAGTCCCACCCCACTAAGGATAATCACTAAACCAAATCACTCATGGAACTGAGCCCTTCTTGAGAAGCCACCAGTTCTGCAGCTACTCAAGAACTTCCCAGAATTTCATGGAATCCAAAGGTTCATTACCATGTTCAGAAGAGCCCTCCATCCAATTCATACCATCCCATTCCGTCTCTCTAACATCCATTTTAACACTTCGTGGACTGGCGATTTAAATATTTAGATCACCCTGGGGACCGGCATTTTTAAACCTACTACCCTAACTTGTGAACTGTTCACTTTAAAAATTAATATGAAATCTAATTAATTTTATGAACTAAAATTTTTGGAGAACACTTACCAATGTTCCTAGAAGTGCTTGAGAGTGTGATATTTCTGGAAACATTCCCCTTTGTGAAGTGGCATTACACAGAACTTGCAATGTAGACAGTCATACTCCTTTTGTTGCGTACTGCGCAAGCACGGTATCGCCTAGAAGGCTGCTTCCCCTTGGCATGTTCACTATTCACAATTTTCACGACGGTATGTTTCCACATATCACCCGAGTCGCCCACGGTGGTCCACATGAGGCCTGCATGGAGTGGGAGTTGATGGACCCGGTCGCACTAAGTCTGTGTCTGTAGCCCAGGCTTTTGCAACATTCAGCAGAAATGCCTTGTATTTCAATTTTGAAGGAGGGTTTAGATTTTTGAAAACCAAAAATGAATTGAAAATCTCACAATTTATAAGCCACAAGGCAACTCTCTTTGTCCACTTTACTGTTTTCAAAGGAAGAGAATAATAGGCCAAGTACTGATCGGTTCTATCAACTCCCTTCATGCACATATTATACTCGGAAATACAAACAGGCTTCTTTACCTGTCCACGTCTCCTTTGAACATCAACCATGCTCGAATTGTGAATTGTGGATTTGGGTCTGATGGAATTTGCTTCACCCTGGATTTCCAGTAAACTGTCCCAAAGCAGGCGTTTTGTCTACTTTTCCCAATGTTGCTACCCGCACTTTCGTCAGAGCTACTGTCACTTTCACTTTCACTGTCTGTGGCCACAATTTTTTTGTTCGCCCCGGCCACACTCACTATCAGATTGTGAGTCGCTGTCACTAGCAGACTCGCAAGGGACGTCAAATAGCTCATCGGAGAACAAGTCAGATATTTCTTGTTCTCCAAGAAAACGCTTGGACCTCAACCTCTTCCAACCTTGATCCATTTTGCGCTAGTAACTTCCTGCCTGGTGCATGCAGCTGGAAGATGAACAAAGGCATTTTCTTTTGGAGTGGGAAAGGGAAACAGTTGGGTCATAAACAGCGGGGTCATGTTACTGACTACGAAGCAAACATTCAAGGGGTCTATCACGCACCAGTCATGCGTCTGCCTGGCGCCAGTGCAAGGTATAGTGTGTTTCAACATAACGTGTCCTAAAATCATAATAATATGCCACTGGTCCGCAAAGTGTTAATATTGTCCACCCACCTACACCTTGATCTTCCCAGTGGGCTCTTTCCTTCTGGCTTTCCCACCAATATCCTATATGCATTCCTCTTCTCTCTCATTCGTGCTACATGCACTGTCCATCTCATCCTCCTCGATTTCATAATTCTAATTACATTTGGAGAAGAGTACAAATTATGAAGCTCCTCACTATACAGTTTTCTCCAACCTCCTGTCACTTAATCTCTCTTCAATCCAAATATTCTCAACACCCTGTTCTCAAACACCCTCAGTGTATGTTCCTCCCTTAATGTCAGAGACCAAGTTTCACACCCATACATAACTACAGGCAAAATTATAGTTTTCTGTGTTCTGATTTTTATGTTTTTAGAAAGTAAACAAGAAGAGAAAAGGTTGTGGACTGAATTGTAGCAAGCATTACCCGAGTTCAGTCTCCTTGATTTCCTCCTGGATCAGGTTTTGATTTGTTATAGTCATTCTCAAATATCTGAACTGTGCCATATTTGCAAAACATCTGCTAGCTATCTTTATTTAATGATTTTGCCCTGCATTCTGTGACAAGACAGCAACATATACTGTGTCTATTTCTAGACCAACCTCCTTACTAGCATCAATTAAAGTTTGTTTGTGGTATGTATATTATCACCCAGTATCATAACATCAGCACAGACCAACAGCTGATGTGTCCCTTTTAATTTCAGTCCCACCTGGTTTTCCTGCACCTTCCTAATGACATATTCTAAAGCCAAGTTGAAAAGCAGTGGCAATAAAATATCATCTTGTTTCAGACCATTCTGGATAGTAAAATTAACAAATGTTTACCTATACAGACTTTACTATACGTTTTATTTAAACACATTTTAATCAGCCTGAGTAGTTTCATGGGTACCCCAAACTCTTATCACAATATTGTACAGTACTTCCCTCCTAACTGAATTACAGGGTTTCTTGAAGTCTATGAATAGCTGATGTACTATCTCACTGTACTCCCATTTTTTCTTCAGTATCTGACCATAAAAGAAATAATAAAAATGATCAAAACAGGCCTTCAGCCTTGTGACTGATGATATCATGAAGTGCAGACTTTTGATCTTGTTTCCTTGGCAGAGGTGGAGGTTTCAGTCTGTGAGTAGAGTAAGCCACATACAGATCCAACTAGGTATCAAACTCAGAACCCTTTGAATGAGAGTTCAGTGTCTTCCGTGATATTTCCATGTCCCCTGTTTGGTGGTATAGGCCTATTTTTGTACAGATTTGAAACACTTAGCAGATATCTTTAAAGAAATTCTGTCTACCTAGAGCAATTATTGATACAGTATATGAATAAAAGATGGACAGACTAATGTGAAGGAAAAAAAAGATAAAGCTATCCCTGTAACAGGCCATGAAGGCCCATAAGGTTGTGAGACTCCCAGGGTCCTGCATTATCTAGACAATCAGCTCACAGATGGCAGTGAGGTCAGCCTTATGCACTTGCCACCTTTACCCCCAAGGAGAATTCCTGGTACTCATTTCTGTTAGAGTCTGAGTCAACCCCAGGGCCACAGTATGGGTGGAAGGATTAGGTCAATTGAAAAGAATCCAGCAACCTCATTGGGAATCGAACCCACGATCTCTAGCTTATATCAGAGTGCTTAACCAACTGTGCTACTGCGTGCCCCAAGTGTGGAGAAAATGGGTCTCAAAATTCTGAAGTCCATACTCACTGGGCGTAATTTATTACAATTTCAAAAATAGTTGCAAACCCATATTCATTGGATGACATGATTAATCATGAATATTAAAAATATGTTAATTCCTCTATTCTGGTATACTCTACTGTAAAATTTTACTTTGATTTTAACTCTACAAGCACCAAAATGATTACATTATTTCATCTCTATATTGCTTGATTTAATAAGATTAAATTTTCATGTATTTTTCTGATCACTCATGTCAGTTCATATAGTACTTTATTTGTATGTGTGTTAAAGAAAAACCAAGGTTTTAAAAGTACTCTTTGGTACTTTTAAATATTTTCCAGACTAAAAATGAGATCTCTCGCTCTGGAATACTTGCTGCTTTGCTGTGAACAACTTTACACATTGTATCCCTGAAAACAGACTCAAGTTTTCATCAAGAAACTGTATAAAATAGCATAAAAATATACAAAAACAAAAATATCATTTGTTTTCCACATTGCAGTCAATACACACAAAACTTTCATATGTAAAAGTTGTATACTATAAGGAATTCACCTTATCCTTTGTCTGAAATTAAAAATAAAATACAGAGGTCAAAATTCCACATGTAGAGTATCTCAGAATTCTGAAATAACACTTAATAATTCCAATATTATACTTTTATTCTCCTTATTTACAGCCTCTTCTATTTCTTCCATTTTGTACCAATATATTTTATAAATGTCTGAACATGTAAATTTATGCAGTCATTCACTTTGACCATTGTGTTCTTCACACTACACAATCCACCATACTTTACACACACAACTAATAATTTATACTTTTTGTTGATATCATTCTTGATATTGGCTGTGTCACTCTTCATCCAGCACACGAACACAAGGTGTCGGCATGTCAGTGTAACGAACAGCATGATCTTCATCTGCTGAAAGTTCTCAATAGAGACATGTATCACTCCAGGTCTGAATAAGTAGTCTTATCTGTGAAACACACATACCTATCACTTATATTACCTTTCTTTGGTTCTTACAAATTCTATGGCACACTTCAGTACAGGAATATCTGTATATTAATAATTCCCTGACTGCCAGTAATTTGAGCACCCAACAAAGATATAACCACACAAGTTCTTCACAGGAAGGAAATAATTTCCACACTGCTGTAAAGATGAATATTATTAAAAGCAGAAAGCCTGTCTTCATGCTATTGTGAACACAATATAGGATGCTATCTCATTTCCGTGAAGCGATTTCCATGATGGGAACATGTCATCCTCCTAGTTTAAATCATAAATAGTTAATATTATTATGAATAGGATCCTTATAATATCACTGGAAAACCAAGCATTTATGATTCATGTTCCAGTTGTTACATGAGATGCTCCCTGGCTACTCCTTTTCTTGTCACCTTTCCAAAATGGCAAGGTAGAAAAAAATAATCTATTGCCATTGTCAGTAGTAACTATGGAACATCAGAACACTTTGATCAGTTCTGAGTGTGGCTGACTAATTCAGTAAGCACTGGTATAAATTACATTGCCTTCATTGACATGTGACAGTTGCAATTTCTGACTAAAATAGCAAAGATCATACTAGCTGGAAAAGTGAACTGATTATTTCCACTGTACTCTTTGAAGCTTTACATTCAAACTCTTTTTTAAGTAGTCATGAGTTGAGGCACTTCCCACACTCTGGTATCATGTGGCATGAGATCAAGGGTTCTTCTACTTCACAAATTAACTTCCCACAGCTTCAGGTTATTATCCATCACTTCATGGAACCACTCCCGCTTGACAGAATCTTTAAATGCTGGTGAAAGCGTCCTGAGGTTTAGCTGCAGTAATGCCTCATTTCGTAATAAACTGTCCAATTTTCTCAGTAAGCTTGCATTTTCATGTAATTTCAACAAACTGTTGTACGTGAATAAATAAAAGTTTATTCGAAGGTGTTCTGTTGCCCACCCCTCTACTGTAGCATTCCCACTTGCAACTTGGATCTTTCCTATATGTTCTGCACTCCATGGTGAGAAATAGCTGGCCAACTCCACATTGGACAGATCTGTTATTCCTCTTGTCTTGAAACGATCCTTGATGGTCCGGTAGATGGGAGGAGTATACACAAATACCTGTAACACACAAATACAGAATGAGATTCGAGATATTCAGAAACATGAAACATTGTGTAGTCATCCGGGCATGACAATGTGCAGTCTGGCAGGTGAGTCAGAAGAACATGTTGCCAATATCTTCAGGATAATACCAATATGTTACTGCAGAACACTGATATCCCCCTACACAGACTACATGCTCTCATAACCCTGATGACTACAATAAACATATCAGATACATCCAGTAGTTTCACACAGAGTGACATAGGGCTTCTGTGCAGTCCCTTCGCTAAAGGTTTCCCAACCAGGATGTTACATTCAGGATTACTGTTTTTGGACTTTTGTCCATCTGGTATTGTAAAGAACCTGTGATTGAAGTTAGCTATATATAATAGACCCAGCAGAGTGTCTCCCAACTTTAAAGTGAGAACAGAAACAGATCCAGTTTCTGAAATATTATATATTTAGAATACCAGTATACTGAGTATTCCCAAATGTACACCATCAGCAGAACTGTTTTTACTCGATGTTGCATAGATTTCTGATTTCACCCATGTGTGCCATCTGTGTCAAACTTCTGGATCTAAAAATTGGTATCATTAAAATCAAAGCGTGTGACTCAAGAAAAGACAGAAAAGCCATATAGACAAGTGACTAAAACTGAGAATTATGTGACTACAGGATGAGTTTGAGGAATGCAATATTGTATTTGAATGTCATGTTGTGTCTTCACCAGTGATTGAACGATGGATACATAGGTCATTCTACAATACTGTTGTATGTCAAGAAAAAGGAGGATGACATGGGCAGGGTATGTAGCACACATGGGTAAGAAGAGGTCTTGTGGGATTTGAGATTCTCTCAGCGGTGGTTATGAAGATCTCTGTATTCTGGGATATAATGCCGTATAGTTCGTTAAAAATCAGCCGATGTTTCGCAGGAACATGTCGCCACCATCCTCAGGTTCAGAACTCTGCTTTCTTGCTTGGCTTATTCTTCGACCCTGAAGACTGGGGCGACATATTCCTCCAAAACGTCGGTTGGCTTTCAACGGACTACAAGGCATTATATCCAGGAAGCTAAAAACTCTTCAAGGTTTTGGGTACAACAGTTAGCTGGCACGATGTAGCAGATTCCACGCATTCTGGATTCCAGTGATATAGGCTTCAGCTGGTGTATTCTCGGGTAAAGTGCCTCTAAAGTCTATAGGACAGGAGGCTGGTGGACCTTAGGGCCCATCTCAATCTCGTCTAAGTCTACGACCACGTGTAGTTATGTATAATTATTGGTCATAACCAGGGCCCGGATTTTGATGACATGTCATCTTTTTTTTCCTTGTATCCTATGCGATGCTCTTAAATATATAAATCTCGGATATGAGCTGCTGGTTACAGAAATGTAAATTCTATAGATAATTTTTTGACATTTTTAGGTTTAAGGTCATTTTTTTTNTCTCTCTCTCTCTATATATATATATATACTTCGTCACTAGGGCTGAATTCAGGTCCGAACCTCTGTTTTTGTAGACTATAAATTATTATGTGGGTGGAGGATAAATCGAGGCCTCTTCCACCACAAGAAAATACAGAAAGAGAACAGGATTAAAAAACGCGACCCCGAATTTCGTGGGGACTGCGGCCGTGATGCTGCAAGTACGAATGGTATCAGTTCACTGCAGATGGAAAGAAAGAATTATGGTCTTCCGAGATGTAACGCGGTGTGGTCTGTCTACCAACTACAAGGCGTCACTTCGTAGAAAATATGTACCTGCGTACCATTCCGCAAGAATTAAAGAATTAAATACAATATATACATAAACAATTCTGCATTTAAGCATCCTGTTGCAAACCATATTAAAACGTGTGTTTAATACATAGACGTTTTAATACATAAACAATAAATGATTATATAATCTTATATAACATATATTAAAATCCATATTGTCACTTTTTTATCTGTAATGACCTCGATTTTTTGTGCAACTTAACTATAATGCCACAAAAACGAGATAGACGAATGGATTCCGATGCATCAGTAGATGACGTAGCGATTATCAATTTCCTCAAGATGCGAATGTGCCTCGCCTGAAGTTCAAATATGTCATGTACATAAAAAGGTGTTTTATCTTAGTGAAATAATGTATGTCGTACGAAGTACTTTTTCTTTCGTCCACTGTCTTCCTTTTAGCGACAGACAGTGGCAAAATAAAATTATCCCTTTATATGCATCACAAAATCATATAGGGGGAGTAGCGGTAAAGCTCCATGCCTTCTTAATCTCGATGGAGGTGAATGATCAGCGTCAGGCTGTGTCCGCCCTCGGGTAGTATACTGGATAGCGAAATAGAAAAGGATAACAGAATTTTCGGAAATCAAATTCAGGTCGTCCAGCTCGCACATAAAATAATTTACGAGTTAAAACACAAATTATCCAAGGAAAATACAGGTTAGGCATAATATTTCTCAGAAAATGAAGTACGATATAGTTAGATTTTGAAACTGTCGTAAGTTTGTGTACATTACATGACTTGTAGGTGGGCTGCATGGTAATATAAATTGCCCTTAACCCCATATAAGGAAAAAAACAGCAAAATGTCCATTTTCATGTGCTGCTATTACGTGTTTACATTATAGTATATTCTTATATTGCAAAACTTCATACGTAACGACAATTTTAATTTGACTGCGGAATAACGTTTCACGTAGGTCAGAGCAATGTTACGTCATGACTTACTCTCGTCGAAGGAGGTAAGCGCAGTTATGAATGTCGTCATAACCGTCATAACGAGTGCCGTCGGCTCGCACAGCCACGAAAGCGAAGCTGAAGAAAGCGAAACCTGCTGGGGCCAGCACGGCGGCCTGCTGACCCAGTTCTGTTAGACATTGCACGTAACTGCATAACAGCAGAGCTGTGTACTGCAGGTCTCGCTTCATCTTCTGCTTGAGCCCTCTGGCCTAGTCCAATTCGAAATTTACTTCTTACATTGTGAATCTTGCAGACACTTGGCAGAACTCCTTCCACGGAAATGGGTCCAACGCAAGGCCTCTATCTATACAGGACAATACAAAGAAGGAAAACGCATACATCAATGCCCCGAGTGGGATTCGAACCCACGATCCCAGTGTTTCTTCTACAAGGCTTGTTTGTTTCTATAAAGTATCACGCTTAATTAGGTTGTCTAACGGAGCAAAGTGTAACACTAGACGGGTTTATGTTCAAACTGAATTTTGTACGTTTATATATAAAAACAAGACTTGGAAGTTCAAATAAAATATTTGTCTCTATTACGTATCACTTTTCGTTTAAATATTTTTGGCTTATTTCACTATAATCGGAAAGTGCTTCTTGCCTACTCGATGGCCGACTCTCTCCTTGAACTAGCTCCGTACCGGATAAGAAGATTTCGATGAATTTTCATACTTTGAATTATTTCTAAAAGTATGTGCCAGACAGAACTTCGACTTGTGTTGGGTAACAGAAACGGCAGTGCATAAGTAGCCTACATTCCTACATACAGGTCTATTAAAATAAGCATCGCGTAAATCGGGAAGCCTTTTATCCGAAAGTTGTAGATATTATCGATATAAAAGTTTTAAAAACTCGATTGTCTTTATTGAACCCTTTGTTTTCAAAACATCGTACACAAAATACTAAAATTAACTTCACTGACATGCAGGGATTCTCTAATTTACACTTCACTTCTAGGTACTGTTACAAATTTGTTTACGAGTATGTTTGTTCCAGCAATCTTCCGAATTGCAACATTCACAGTACAATAATATCACGACTAGGGAAAGTGCAAAGTTGATTTCTGACAGTCCTGAAGGATACGAAATACACTTTGATAGGATTCAGAGCCCCGCGCAGCATAACAAAACAAAGCGATCAACTCCACAGCACTTAATACAAGCGACATTGACATCATGTAACATAAGCCCAACGTTTAGGGGACTCATACTCCAGAAATTTTGAGGTTTAAGATTATGTATGAACTGCGAAGTTGTCTTTTAATACGATGGTCTTTTAAGACTGAAACATGACGGAATCTCTGGGACACACAGTCTACGCAGACAATAAACAAGATATGCTGGGATGGTAACTTGCATTTGATTTTACACGAAATGTACCTTTCTGTTGGAATAGGCTGTTACCATCCTTTTTGGCTTTTCTGAATACTTAACGATATAGGCACAGCAGATCATATATAGGGCCCTGCATCTTGTAAAGTGCAAGTCCTCGTGGTCTAGAGGTATGTTATGGACTCTGTGAGGTATAGCCTTCGTGATGATACAACCTTCTTAAAATAAACAGTCCAACATCATATTAATTGACAAGGGCTGAGAACCAAACCAAACGTGCGGAAATTGACAGATGCTGATGAAACAGACATAAGAAAAAAAACTCCGTGGTTTTAGTCCGCAAGCGAACTATACCGACCGAGCGACCGCCGCTTGTCGTCGAAGTTAGTGCCAACTTTTGCGGAAAGAGGGTGTCGCGTTTTCAGCGCAACGGATCCCCACGGCCGTTAATCTCGGTTTTCTAGACCGGAGCCGCTATTTCCCTGAAATAGCTCCTCGATTACCCTCACGAGGCTGAGTGAACCCCGTTCCAGACCCACTACTCCTCAGAAAATCTGGTAACGCCGGGAATCGAACCCGGGACCTCTGGTTCTGTAGCCAGGAACCACAGAGGCGGCGAAACAGACATAAGAGAACTACACGGCGCATGCGCGCGGCGTTCTCGTGTTAACACTAGAACGCCGCCTGTGGAGACCTGTAATTGACAGCGTAACGTGATGAGCCAGTACGCCCTGACGATGAGGCGAAGCTACTAGACGCAATTTGGCAACATTTCGTCAAAAGTTGAAGTTTTAAGGTACCTATACATGTTAAGTTGTCCCTTTGCTTAATTAATTAAGCATGACGCCATGAAGATGCTGTACAGCTCCACACATTCCTAAGCCCTGCAAGAGATGGAAGTGAGCAAGGTAACATTTTGGCTGTACCACAGTTCAGGCGGTTAGGCGCCCATGTCAGATCATGTGCGATTTGTAGCAAATAAAGTGACACTGGGGCAGGTTTTCTCCGAGTACTTCTCTTTCCCTTGCCAATTCTCATCCCACAGACTGTTGCTCACTCATCATCATCTATTATCAGCGGCTGATACAATATGCCAAATAGTGGCCGACGTACCAAGTTGACTCAGTCTCACCCCACGAAATTAAAAAAAATAAATAAAATGTTTGTTGTGCTTAATTTAAGTACAACGATATGAAGGTTTCACGCTGTCTTAACCCAGCCACTTGGTAGACGTTAATTGTCAGGTTCACGCTCTGGCCGCTTTGCCCCAGCCAAAGATCCCCCTGTGGTTGTGAGTTATTTTCACAATTAAATTCGATGGGTCACGTGAGGCTTCGAAATTTTATCGATCGCGATCCACTCATCTGGGTAACGGTGAAAGAAGTAGACTGAAATAGGACACAGGGTTTGGACTGGAACATTCCAACGGAAATTGTAAACAGCGCGAGGAAGTTACCCTATCATTTCCGTAAGGTGACCTCCATTTTCCATGTCGGTTAATAACTGATATTTAGAAGATATCCGCTCCGAGCAAGTTCGTGTGGCACCGGAGCCCTACGCTTGTATTCAGAAAGCACGCGGTTTTAATATCGACTGAAACCGTCCGTAACTTTCTTCAGTCTCTCTGTGCGAATTCCGGCAATTAATTTACTCTTCGCATATCATCCGACACTAATGTAACTTGTGAAGTTGACACAGCGCCATTAAATAACGCAAGAACGAATCAATCCTGCTCAGTCGAGGAGTATTAGAGCAGGATTGATTCATTCTTGCGTTATTTAATGGCGCCATTTCAACTTCATATGTCACATTAGTGTCGGATGAGATGCGAAGTGTAAATTAATTTATTTATTTAGCTGTCATGAATGCGAAACGTTCCCCCCCGAACGCCCGAACGTTGCAGTCAAGTTGTTACCTCCCCGCTTCATATTCGAGAAGTCCAGGATTGTTCAAATCCTGACAGAGAGACTGAATATCCCGACTAAAATCGTTCATTAGGCCCTTTATTCAAATCCCGAGATTGTATCTCAAATCAGGCCACACAGTTTCCTTCCACATCCCTTCCAATTCATCATTCAGTAGGACCGATCATTACACATTCGAGGATTTAGGCTATAATATGAAGTACTTAAAGTGTCGTTAAATAAACAATAAATAAATAGAATACTACCTACGCCCTACTATCAGCTCAGTCGGTATAGCGACAAGCTACGGGCTAGACGACCCATGTTCGATTCTCGGCAAGGGTAAGAAATTGTACTCTGTCCCTCAGCGTCCACACCGACTCTGGGGCCCACCAAGTTTCCTGTCCAACTGCTACTGGGGAATACATCCCACGGGGTAAAGCGGCCGAGGCGTGAAGCTGACCACTCACACTCATCCAGTGCCAAGGTCAAGAATGGTGGGTCTATACTTCCACATACGTCTTAAAGGCGTGGTGCTCAGTTAACTGAGCACAGGGATAGCTTTAACTTGTTTTTTCTAACTCCCACTGTGGAGCGTAGGGCTGATTTCTCAGTTTCATCGATCATTTTTATAGACGGTAGGACTCCTTGGACGGGTGATCTGCTCCCAAGGCCTCTACCTAAACACAGGACGACACAAACACAGAATAAACGTACACACATCAAGCATCCATGCCTTGTGTGGGATTCGAACCCCTGATCCCAGCTTCCGATCGAGAGAAGGCAGTACATGCCTTAGACCGCTCGGCTACCGTGACCGGCAACTTTAACTTAAGAATGAAAAAATCAGTACGAGCTGTAATCCTTCCTGCACTGTTACACGTTAATTTAGTATAGCAATATCGCTCCTTTGTTTCTGGGTACATTTCGGGAGGCTGTTTCCGCTATACGGTTTATTTTGCGTCGAGTTGTAGGGCACCGTGAATTCTGAGTCTGTGGAAGCAAATTGTACGGCCTGTTACAGGGATAACTTTACTTTTATATTATTTGAAACCTTTCTACGGTAACGTAGTCTGGTGTGGCGCCAGTTGCGGCACCTACACTCCACTCCCCCATACGCCTTCATGGCGTAGTGCTTAATTAGTTAAGCACAGGGACAACTTTACCCTTGCAATGTGACCGGAGACGCAACGCGTGTCCCAGTAGTGTAGGTCCAGAGGAAATTCTGCGGAGTTTTGTGTTGACATGTGCGTCACAATTCCGCCCCGTGTCATTATCTTATTAAGTGTGTACGGAACAAAAATTGCACAATACCGGTCTTGTCACTCGGCACCCGACGGGACTGAAGCAGTGATTCAGCTCGCTCTTGCTAGACGTCAGACGGCTGCTCCAAGCTTTCGAAGATTCAGATTGTGCGGTAACTGCAAGGTTTCGACACAGCCTGAATACAATTTCGGCTTTTCTCCACAGACTGACCGACCACAGCACGTCCGACGAGGCACACTTTCGTCTCCCAACAATCAGCACCTACGACGCTGGAACGGTGAACGATCTAAGGTTTATGAACACCCCTACGAAAACAAAGAACACACTCCGTGGCCTGTAGTCCGCAAGCGAACTATACCGACCGAGCGACCGCCGCTTGTCGGTGAAGTTATTGCCAACTTTAGCGGATAGAAAGTGTCACGTGGTCAGCGCAACGGATCCCTTCGGCTGTTGATCTCGGTTTTGTAGACCGGTGAACACCCCTACAGAGGGCGAAAATTACAGCTTGGTGTGGCGTGTCTGCCTTTGGAATTATCGGACCGTACTTCTGAAGATGGTAACCGTACAATGACCATAACCTGGGAGTGATATCTACTGATAATGGAGATATTGAGAGTGAATGGGGATATGGAGATATGGCTCAATCAGACGGCGTCACCGCGAACAGATTTCGTGAAACGGTGAGCTATTCTAGAGCAATGTTTCTTTGGCACCTCATCTCTTGTTCCGGTGACATTGCGTGGCCGTCCAGGGTACCTGACCTGACAGCACCCGACTTCTTCTTATCGGGATATTTAAAATATAAAGTTCATGTAAACAAGATTCGTACAGTTATGGAGATGAAAGAGCATATAGCTTACTAAATTAAAGCAATTGGTATAGCGTTATTGCAAAGAGTTGTAAAGAATATCCAAATAAAGCTATCCCTGTAACAGGCCGTGGAGGCCCACTGGATTGTGGGACGTCAAGGCTCCCACATTTTCTATAGACAATCGGCTCACAGATGGCGGTGAGGTTGTCAGCCTTACGCGCTGGCCGCCCTTTACCCCCCAGGAAAATTCCTGGTACTCATTTCTGTTAGAAGCTGAGTAGACCCCAGAGCCATAGTGCGGCTGGAAGGATTAAGTCAATTGAAAAATCCAATGACCCCATCGGGAACGGAATCCACGACCTGCCTCAACCAACTACGCTACCGCGTGTCCCCGAATATCCAAGCAAGGCTTCAGAATATATCGCACGTCGTCAGAGTACTTAATAAATATTATTTAAAAATGAATAAGAGGTAATATATTGCATCACTAATATCGCTTTTCCAGCGAAATTATTTTATTTTTATTAACCGCCTTCTAAGCTCTCCAAGGGCTGTCACACACCAAGGCACGAAGTGACCACTACCTGATAGAGCGAGTTCCCAGTCACGTAGGATGCGATGTAATGAGATCCATAGCTCCGGACAAACTCATTGACGCTGGGAGCGTCGCCGACTTTCACCTTCTCGACTTCCTGCTCCACGACCTCCTCCGGCTCCAGCTTCGGGTCCTTCGGCCCCAGTTTGGCGGACACTCTGTGGCGGGCCACCCTCACCTGGAAGCACAACGGTCCGGTCCAAGGCCGGCGTTCTTTATATTTCGCTTTCTCAAAGAGTAAAAAAAGTTAAATCTATCTCTGTGCTTGATTAAATAAGCACCACGACATTAAGACGTATGGGGGAATGGAGGTATAGGTCCATTCTTGACATCGGTACTAGATAGAGGGGGTGGTCAGCTTCACACCCTGGCCGCTTGAAAGATACCCGGGACCCAATGGATTAGAGGCTGAGTGGCCTCAGTTGCCGGTCTGGACGCTGTGGAATACAGTAAAATTCCTTATCCCTGCCGGGAAGCAATCCCCGACCGTCCGGCCCGCAGCCGTCGATATACCGACTCAGCTGATTGAGAGCAGGAAGCATTTTATTTATTTATTGTTCACTTAACGACTCTTTAAGTACTTCATATTACAGCCCATAGCCTCGAATGATATGATCAGGCCTACTGAATAATGAATTGGAAGGGATGTGGAAGGAAGCTGTCGTGGCCTGGTTTGAGGTACAATCCCGGGATCTGAATATAGGGCCTGAGGAAAAACACAAACAATTTCAGTCAGGATCTGAAGAACCCGGGACCTCCCGAACACGAAGCACTGCGATATTCGAGGGTTTGAAGGACAGCTATTGCAATCGTGACAGCTAAATAAGTAGACAATTATAAGTGAAATCATTAGCAGGTTTACTGTCCAAGAGGTTATTACATGCAGTAAGGGATGGAAAGACTTAAATCGACGGAAGAAAGAGCGGTGGACAGAGATAGGACGGAATCACAAACCTCTGGATGAAAATTAAAGGAAAGAACAAGGACAGCTAGAAAGAATATTCTGAGTCCCGCACACACAACGCATTGTCTCATCAGTAAACAGAATTAGGAACAGAGCTAAGTTTTGAGGAATATGCAAGTTACGAAGTGCCGGTTGTGTGTCCTGCTTTGCTTTACCTACAGCTGTATATGAGATTAGGCCCCATATTATAACCATCACATGAAGCATACACACCGTATTTATAATAATACGCTCTTTGTATCTACAGAACATGTTTCTGAACATCGCGGGTACGATTAAAGCCGTAAATATGAACACAGCAAACAGTTTTGCTCAGTATACTCTACATTCTAAATACGTTCTATTAGTTTAACTGCACCTTCTTTCCAAGTTCGATTTGCCGTACGGTTCATTACACAGTTTACTGCAATGTTCTACCAAGTTTCGAAGTTGGCAACATATTTATCGCGTTCAGACAACATATCTGTTTTCCTGTCAACATACTTTAACTATTGTGCATTTAATTGCCCTCCTGTTCAATAATTACTACGCGCATAACTCCCCAACTGTGAAAGTAACAGCCGGTAACTTTCTCTGTTTATTTCAATATGTTCTATCTTTGTTGAAGCATTATCCTATGTTCCCACCCGGTTTCACTAACCGTTTCATTGCTACTCTGCAGTGCCGTTTGCTTTCGACTAAGTACGCTTAATAAAGTCCCATTTTTTATGTAAGATTTTTTGCTTGTTAACACTTTGAATACCGTGGTTATATACGAGTACAGCATGTACCACTTGCTTTAACGCATGATAACTCAGCATTCTGCATTCCTGTGAGGTACGAACTGAATTCTTATATATTACGTAGAACAGAGTCAGTTTGCAAGGAACCTACTTTCTGGTGACGTAACTGCAACTTCAAATAAACTACTCTTAATCATCCCATTGTCCCTCAACAAGCTTATCTTGCTTATTGCATAAATATAGTATAGGCCTATGTGGTAACTTTATTTTGATTTCATTAACTGGCCACTCTCTTACAAGCGCGATCAATTATTTTACTGATTTTTATATTACGCGATATCTGTGCTGGTTATGTGAAATATGATCGCGTAGTTTTGTATGAGGCAGCAAGGTGGAAAACACACCATCTTGACGCCTGGAAAACATCACTTGGGGTTAGCATGTGGTGTGAAGATATGAACTGCGCTAGTCAACAAGGTTTCGGCAACATGAAAGAAAGCGAACACCTTAAATAAGTTATGATATGTGTCTATTCCAAACCTTGACACAAATTTTCCATTACGCTAGAGTCTTCTGTGTTTATTTCTGAGCCTGAGCTCAGTATTTCAGTTTTCCTTAGTCCTATTATAAAATTTTCAACCATATTACGAGAAAATATTTTATCTGCGAATAAGAGTTCATTCCGATTCAAATAACATAATTACTTCAAATTACCTACTAAATGTGTTCATGTGTCCTCCGTACAAAAAGAAATAGAAGATAATAACAAAACGTGTTACAAGCCTTAGACTCATATTTTCATCGGTGAAGTCAATTTATTCAAAAGATCTTAATTCATGCATGTTATTGAAAACAAGTGGACATTTGTTGCGCTGTATTTTTAATAATATCATTTTAAAATATATTGGTTTATCTCTTGGTTCAAATAACTGATAAACTCCGGTTACTGTAGGAGCGAGGGTGCGTCGCCCGTTAGGGAAGTTGACCGTTAAATCAACATTAAGAAGTTAGTGGTGGCAACGAAAAAAAAAAGATGCACCGTGATGCTACGTGTTACGGGGACGGAACAAAATTTCCACCATGTATTGTCCTGAAAAGAAGAAGTTTCCAAAAATAGGCGTAACGGGCATAATAGTGCAGGCTCAAGAGGCTGGGTGGATGGAATATTCATTATATTATATTTTCAGCACACTTCCGGTGTTCATACGCCAGTGAGAAATTCAAACATTCATACAGAGAATGTTTCTTCTGCAAGGTTGCCGACACAAAGTTCCGTGTACCCTGGTTCGTAGAATACATATTTAATATTTGTTTTAACGATAGAATGCTTAAGCCGATGGCCTCCGATCCCACTCGTTTGGAACAGAGAGTAAAAATAATTTGGCAGGAAGCAATGACAGTTCCTTTAGCAAACCAAAGCACGTTCAATGAACATAACAGTTCTCTGTAGTGACGTGACATGCATACTGATAAGTGGAAACCCCTCAACTCCTTGTTGTACACATCGCATGTCTTCCTTTCCATCGCGAATCAATTGTTGCTATGAAGCACGAAGTCAAAAGACAAGGCCGAGCATTGAGTAGTGGTTAGCATTTCTATGTAGTGCTTGGGAGGTTTGGAGTTCAAGTCTCGATCCCCACAGTGGCTATTCTGATCACATCTCCAATTAGATACTGAGTAAAAAGGTATTGTTGCCCCCGTATTTAACTAATTAACACTACACCATGAAGGCGTATGGGGGAGTGGATGTATAGAGCCATGTGTTCTTGTCGGCGCTAGATGAAGTAACTTGTCAACTTCACGCACCGTCCGCTTTACCCCCAGGGGAAACGCCCACGGTACCCACTGGATAGCAGGCTGGGTGGACCCCAGAACCGGTCTGGACGCGGAGGAAAGAAAGATTTTGCTCCAAGCGGGACTCGAACTCCGACCACTCGGCCATCCAGTCTGTAGTCAGTCGCTATACCGAATGCGCTATCCAGACTTCATAGACACTGGGTTAACACGCTAAAACATGCAATAACTACGCTTGATGGTGAGCAGTGATCCCACTTCACATTGTCTGAAAAAGCGTTAAAAGTTAAATAACAAAGTATTGGAGAGAGAAATATATGAATCACAGATAAACCTACTCGTAATTAGACCTAATGTTCTTCTGGTCTTGTGGGTTATAACACAGTGTTATCACCATATCGCAGAAACTTCTTGCCTTCATCAGGGTATAAGTAAAATCTCATACTAAGGTACTCAGCTCTTCAAAGCAGAACCTCCGCCATCCAGTTAATGATACTTCACGTTCATAAGCGCCACTCGCAAGTGAATCTGACATTTCTCCTCTCCGCTTGGGAACACAGCTGACTTCTGAATCCATCGAGATGTCGCTGACCTCTGTCTGAACCTTGCCATTTGTCCACTTGTCGATCAAACGGTCTGTGAATTCTTCTGACATGTATCCAATAGATTCCTGACCGAAAGACCGGCCCCGGGGGCTCGAACACTGTTGGGTATTTCGCTTTTCTAGTTGAGTTGCTGCCACAGCTCCTAAGCCGAGGGATATGAGAGACCTTCGAATGGTACAAAGAATACAATTGTCGAAGACACTACTGATTCATGAAACTAACCTTTGCTTGAAACATGTGAACCGTCGGTATTTCCAAATGTATGTCATTTTCGGCATCACCAAACTCAAGATTTGGGCTTTCATGGTAGTCCCGTCCTTCTACTGAATACGTTATCTCCCCTCCCCAGCCGTAGTTTCGGCATCCAGGGAAACTTCAACCTTTACGTGTATGATTCATTTCGTGCTCACATACAGAGCAAGGTCCCATCTTTCCACAAGAACTTAATTTTATTATTAAATCAAATGCGTCGAAATTCCTTTATAACGTTTTTTTTTATGTAGATCCTGTGGAGCCAGGGCAGTTCAGTATGTCTAAATTCGGTTACGGTATGGACGATACATGAATCGGAGTTTGATTTCTGGCAGAGACAAGAGACTTTTTCTCCACAGAGTCCGAACCGGCAATGGGGCTCACCCATCCTCATATCTGGTGGATACCGGGAACGCCTTCCTCGGGAATAAAGCGGCCGGAGCGCGAATCTGACCACTCACCTCCATCTTTAACCGATTTTAAGAATGCGTGAACCTATAATTCCTCTCCCTCATACGTCCTTAAGTCGTCATGTTTAAAAAATTATGAGCTCTATCTAGCCGTTTCTGTCTTGTGTTAACGGCAGCACGGCCAGAATTGTGTCAAGTATATCTATCATTCAGCTGAACTTTAAAATTATACTAAACCTTATTAAGTATAAATAATAATCAATTATGTATATCCTTGTTTTCTTCTTCTTCTTCTTCTTCGCCAGTCAGTACACTATATAACGTCAGTCGTGTGTACGCGTATGCTTTTGTTTCGTGACGTAATCTACTCTGCTACGTCACGTTGCTGATGGGCCGACTCTAGCTTCAGTGGAACGTAGGAGCGGACGCCTTGCGCATTGCAGTGCGTGTCCTTGCGGAAGTGCAAAGCAAAGAAAGGCTAGAAAGTAGCTTGAGATATGACCACAAAATTTAACCATTCAATAGCGAGGTATGAGAGTCATAAATTGACTATCGAACAAAAACAGCTGATTGCGTAACTAAGCTCTCAGTCACAGTTCACTGGCTGGGTAGTTGTAACGCACAAGAAATTGCTCACTACTGGACAGGATGGAACAAAACGCTACTCCAGACAAACTGTCCGCTCATAAACTCTCTGCCTATAACGAACCCGACGACTTATTACTGGATTCAGAAAAGTTAACTGGGCCCTATCCCAAACCACTTGAATCCAGTCCACAATTTCATATCCCAATTCCTAAAATCTGATATTGTCCTCCCATCTATGCCTAGGTCTTGACGTATCCTCTTCCTTTCAGGCTGCTCGAACAATTCAGTGAATGTATTTATTATTTTTTATTTTTGCAGATCATAATCAATATTATGGAAGGATATAACTTCAGAACATTTAAGCTTATGAAATCTCTTTTGGATGAAATAAAAACAAAACGGTACGGAAGCGTCCAAGCAATGGATGTCACAAACGGGTGCTGAAGTGGATACCACCAGGAACGAAGAAAATTGGGAGGGAGAGAAAAGTCTGATATGGGCTGGAAGTGGGGCAGTGGACAGATACAGAAGAATGGAGAGCGGAAATCGAAAGACCTCAACGACGTTAAGAAACCGTCAATTATACGAGTACATATACATCCATGTACTCCAAACCCGAAATTTCTCTGTCATGTTCACAAGAGTTCGCCACTGGTCCCTATCCTGAGCCAGATAAATCCAGTCCATACATCTCCTCCCGTTTTTCTAAGATCCATTTTTATATTATCTTCCCACCTACGTTTAGGTCATCCTAGCGGTTTTTTTTCTTTTCTCTTTCCCATCAAAATCTTGTATGCATCCCCAATTAGATTAAATATAAATAAATACTGCATGGATAGCACGTACATAAACACCTGTGTTATCTAATCCACATCTGTTTTGGGCTCTTTAGCGTCTCGGAATTATCATGTGGGCCTCCGATGTTCAGTGAGTCTGGTCACCCCTGCTACATGGCGCCGAATGATGCGATGAGTAACGAATTATGAACTGGTAATGATGTGGGAGAAATCGGCCATGGTCTAATTTGAGGTATTATCCTGGAATTTGCCTGGAGGAATTGAGGAAAACCTCGAAGTCAGGATAGTCTTGTGGCCGAGATCTGAACGTGGGGCCTCCCGACTATGAGTCAAGTGTTCTCCCCACTCTTTGTTGGCCTGGGAAGGTAGTGGCCATGATACTGCAGTGGTCTGTCCGCGGGAGTTCATAATAACAGATCTGTGTAACAGCGATGAAGTTCAAATCGGAGTGTAAAAATAATAATAAGAAATAAGAGACACAAGATGGGCCGAGGCCTGTTGTTGTTGCTATATTCACTCGCATTTATCCCAAAATTTCGATCAGTGAAACGTCAGCCATAACGAAGAATACACGGCGCCTAAACCCAGAAGACGACTTTCTTCATAGTCATCGCCGTGAAAACCTCAAAACTTACAGAATGTATAGAATGTTCACTTTACTAAAAAATAAAGTGTACTGACAGGAATGTCAAACGACAAATCTTCCAATGCACACAATATATTAACACTCTGGCATTAAAAGTTAGAAATTACAAATCATGAAACTTCCAAGGGAATCTTGTATTGAATCCTATAAAAGCACGTAGCGTAACCAACTGCACGGTTCAGAATCTTATTTGAGACGTTAGTTGCTACTCAGTGGCGAAGAAATTTCCGGATTTTTTGGAGTCAGAACATTTGTTAATGTTTTAAAAGAAGCTCCACACCTCAGCTAGTTGAAACCAGTCTACACCTTTATATTCAATTTTTTCGACATTCACTTTAATATTATCATGAGCAGCCGGGACACCGCAGTCGGTATAGCGACTAGCTATGGGCTGGACTACCGAGGGGTCGGAATTCTAGTCCAGATAGGGTCAATAATTTTCTCTTCTTCATGTCGTCCAGACCTGCTCTGGGGTCCATCCAACCTCTTGTACAATGGGTACCAGGGGATCTATCCCTGGGGGTAAAGCGACAGGGGTGTGAAGCTGACCACTCACCTCCAACTAGTGCCGAGGTCAGGAAAATGTGGATCTATACATCCACTCCCGCATACGCCTTCATGGCGTAGTGCTAAATTAGTTAAGAACAGGCGACAATTTTTATCTTTTACTTTACTATAATCTTTCGAACTACGCGTAGGTTCCCAGATGTTATCTTTCCGCGGGAGTTTTCAACAAAAAAGTTAGTAGAACATAGAACATTTACACCATTATATTGTGTAAAAATTACGTAAACATCTTTTAGTTGTTTGTGGTCGGCATTTAAGACGGCTGATGGGCAACTTTTGTCAACCATCAAGTGGCGCGATAGTTCTGATTGGTTAGAGCGTTTCCATAGCATTTATGAGAATTCTCAATATATCATAGCATTAACAGACCATAAAAACAAACTCCGTGGTTTTAGTCCGCAAGCGAACTATACCGACCGAGCGACCGCCGCTTGTCGGCGAAGTTAGTACCAACTTCAGGGGATAGACGGTGTCGCGTGGTCAGCGTAACGAATCCCCAACACCGTTAATTTTGGTTTTCTAGACCGGAGCCGCTACTTTTCCATTCAAGTAGCTCTTCAATTATCCTCACGAGGCCGAATGATCCCCATTCCAGACCCACTGCTTCTCAGAAAATCTGGTAGCGCCGGGAATCGTACCCGGGACCTCTGGATCTGTAGCCTGGAACTCTGACCACTAGACCACAGAAGCAGTCCATTAACAGACCATCACTAGCATTATATCACAAACGGACAAACAGACAGACAGACAGACAGAAAGATACAATCTAAATAAAAGCCGCCCCAGTCTTCTGAGCGCAAAGCATATCATGAGCAGAACAGTAATTCTTTGTGATGTATTTCAAAACCCTGTCAGTATCTCAGATCCAATGACTGGATAGGTGATTAGTGAATTGGAAAAGGTTTTGGAATGAAACAGCAATGGTCTAATCTAGCAACTATCCCGGAATTTGCCCGGAGAAACCGAGGGAGAGAATGGAAAACGTCAGTTTTGGTAGATGGTGTCCCGGCCGAGATTCAAACCGAGCACCTCTTGTGTCTGTAACCTAGATACGCACCAGTACGTAACAATGTTGTCCAGTGACGTAAGATGAGTTGATGCCCATGTGCCGAGCCAATGCATTGCGACTCCAACTGGCCGTGAAAGCGCGCCATGGCCTGTCCAGTCTCTCGACAGTAAAGTCGCGGAAGTAGGCCTGTAGAAGTTGCTTCAGGTTGTCGCAGAACTCCATGTGGAAGTCACCTTCGAACACGTGGGCCCCAGAAGTCGTCACGTCGCTGAAGGTCTCTACAGACTCTTGGAGCGAAATGTCCCTGCGGGAAGAAGTCGCACATTCAAGTTTAAGACGCAACATACTGCAGGCTGACACAAGGTTCTGATTTCTCTCGGGTTCCCAGCTATACTGTCCGAGCCTCTACGTGGTTTTCCCCAACCTCTCCAGGCAAATACTGAAATATATGCCACAACACCGCCCTTTCATTAAGTCTAATATTTTATCATTGAGCGCTATGTAACCACAATAGCTGAAACAGTCTCTATTTTAACATAATTAAGCAATCCTCTTTCTCTCAAGGCGAATCCCAGTATAGTACCTTCAAATAGGCTACAGCCGCCACCTTCCAAACTCTTATCATTTTTTGCGGTATTATATTCTTAACTCTACTGAAGTTAGATTATAAAAAAAGACAAAACTATCACTGTAACACGCCGTGGATGCCTACAGGGTTGTGAGACGTCGAGGCTCCCACATTTTCTCTAGACAATCGGCTCACAGATGGCAGTAAGGTTGTCAGCCTTACGCGCCGGCCGACCTTTCATCCCAGGAAGATTCCTGGTACTCATTTCTGTTAGGGGCTGAGTTGACCCCAGGGCCATAGTGCGACTGGAAGGATTAGGTCAACTGAGAAATCCAATAACCTCATCGGGAAACGAACCCACGACCTTTCAGCCTGTAGTACCTCAACCAACTACGCTACGCGTGCTCCCCCCGCTAGATTATACTCGATTTAATAAATATAATTTAATTACTTTTACATACGAAACAGCACCGTTAAATGCTCCAATTAATTGATTCGTCATGAATTAAACATGAAAGTCGTCGACTTAAGATACAGAAATATTTCGTAAACATACAAAAGTCCAAGCTTATCACACGACTTGACTTCCCTTGAACGACTGATATTTCTAATCAGTAATTTTAAGGTCTGTCATTCATCATGAAATATGTCATACATCACTAGGCTCGATAACAACGTACGGTATAGGGATCAGACACACTTTACCCTCACTGGGAAAAATCTGAACCATGGTCTCTCACCCTTAAGGAAATAGCACCGGGTGTGACTGAAATAGGCTGGTCATGAGAACATTTGGACCTAAGACAGAGGAATAACAGGACATAGGGGAAATTTCGTAATGAAATTCATAAGTTGGACCGCCTCTGTGGTCTAGTGGTCAGAGTTCCTGGCTACAGATCCAGAGGTCCCTGGTTCGATCCACGGCGTTACCAGATTTTCTTAGAAGTACTGGCTCTGGGACAGTGAACATTAAATTGTGAGATTTGGGGTTCTCACGGAAGTCACTATGAAGAACAGAGTCTTCTAGGATGTGAAGCCGTGTAGTTTGGTACTATTACCAACATGCTGCCTACATCTTCAGTGTCGAAGTATATGCCAAGTAGGCTTAATGCTTGTTTGCCTGCCTGCCTTACTCTGCGACCTTGGAGACAGAGGCAGTACGTTCGTTCGAAACTTCAATAAACTTATACCAGGTTACACGGCATCAGATCCCAGAAGACGTTAGCCTTCAAAATAAATTATTTATGCAAATTGTTGTGCAGATCCCTGATACCACACATCGAGGAATATTTTCAAGACACTGTGGGTGGGAGCGTACACACGACCTCTCCAGTGTCCGTACATTCTATTCATTTCGGCAGCTACACCGCTCGCTTTACACCCCCTGAGAGACGTAAGGGGCCGATTAGATGTGAGGTTAGGAAAGCCCCAGATCAGATTTCGATTTAGTAAAGGAAAGAAAAATCTTCATAATGAGGAGCTTTATAACTTGTACTCTTCTCCAAGTATAATTAGAATGATCAAGTGAAGGAGAATGAGGTGGGCTGGGCATGTAGCACGAATGAGGTAGAGGAGGAATGCATATAGGTTATTGGTGAGAAAGCCAGAAGGAAAGAGACCACTGGGAAGACCAAGGCGTAGGTGGGTGGACAATATTAAAATGGATCTTAGAGATAGGATGGTATGGATTGGATTGATCTGGCTCTGGATAGGGACCAGTGGAGGGCTCTGGTGAACATGGAAATGAACCTTCGGGTTCCATAAAATGCTGGGAAATTCTTGAGTAGTAAAATTGGCGACTCCTCAAGAAGGGCTCAGCTCCATGAGCAAGGCCGGGCGCATGTTGAGGATAGGGACCAGTGGAGGGCTCTTGTGAACATGGAAATGAACCTTCGGGTTCCATAAAATGCTGGGAAATTCTTGAGTAGTAAAATTGGCGACTCCTCAAGAAGGGCTCAGCTCCATGAGCAAGGCCGGGCGCATGTTGAGGCGCAGGGCAGAGCAGCGCAGGGAAAGACTGCGCGCAGTACCAGCGCACGTCCACAGCGTAAGGAAGGAGCGCAGTGTGAAGCACACAGTTGAAATATGGCAGAACTGCTATTATTTGATTTAAGTTCTGAATCTGATTCAGACGACCAGTTTGAAACGGAAATGTTGGCGTACGTGGCACTGAGAAGGACAAAATCTATGAAAAGAGCGTATATGAAGAAGAGAAAAACTCACAGAGAATTCGCTCTGACTGAGCAATTCACTAACTACTTTCGGTTAAATCGTGAGCAATTCAGTGAAGTGCATAGCAAGATAGAAAGTGAAATTTATTCTCCGCTTTCAATTTCGTTTTCATATAATCTGGATCACTTGTATCATACAAAATCTTCCGTCGGCACGCAGCATCGATTGGTAGTTCTTCAATCATCTTCCTTGCATGGGGTCAACTGCGAGCAGGAATCTGCGTCTTGAGCACTGCGCATAGCAGAGGATTGAGACGCAGTTCCTGCTTCACCCTGCTCTGCGCATCAACTTGCGCGGTTCTATTCATATCTTACAGGATCGCAGAAACATGTGCCCGGCCTAAGTAAAGAAAATCTGTAACTCTGTCGGGCACCGAACCCTCGTTATTTAGACCCTAAACCAATCACTTTACTACTTCGTCCGAAACGTAACGAAGAAGTTTTTAACGAAAAGTGTTCGTGATCAGTCCTGATGCAACAGAACGTTAACAAAACATCATCCCCCTGCATGTGGCTGCAGCGTACAAGGTTACATTCTTCGATGGTACAGAGATGATGCAAACGGAGCGTAGGAGCGGCACAGGGGTCACTGGAATGTCGGGCCGAAAGCCAAGACGGCACAGGACTCTGTTCCGGGCACGTTATGGCTACTTCGGAAAATGGTTATCATCGTGCTAACACAGGATAGGACCCGAGGGGATCCAGATAGGTATCGTAAGATTTCGCAAGTGTACTTTATGCAATTTTATATGTCTGATAACATTTTAAGCACTAATAAGATTTATCCGACCTGAATTTGGAACTAAGATGGCGGGGACTGCAGGAAACTGGAGTGTTTCTTCCCCACGGAGCAAATCAGCAGGGGCGTGAAGCTGACCGTTCACCCTATCTAGTGCCCAGGTCAAGAGTAGTAGAGCTATACCTCCACTCCTTCATATGTCTTGTGGCTTGGTGGTTTTTTTAATTAAACGCAGGAATATGTTTTAACCAAACAGTATTAGAGTGAACAAATCAAGGACCATGGGATGGGTAGCGCATAATCAGCACGAGAGAGAAGAGACTGCATACAAATTTCGGTTGGAAACCTCAAGAGAATAAACCACTTGGAATATTCAGACATACACAGGAGAATAACATCAAATTGAGCGCTGAAAGATATATAGTGGGAGGACGTAGGTAAGGCAAAGGTAAAACCATCCCTGTAACAGGCCGTCGAGGCTCCCACATTTTCTAGACAATCGGCTCACAGATAGCGGTGAGGTTGTCAGCCTGACACGAAGGCGGCCCTTTACCCGCAGAAAATTTCCTGGTGCTTATTCCTGTTAGAGGTGGAATCGACCCCAAGACCATAGTGCGGCTGAAGGTTTATGTCAATTGAAAAATACAGTGACCTCATTGGGAATCGAATCCGCGACCTTCCGGCTTGTAGCATAGTGCCTCAAGCAACTATGCTACCGCGTACCCCCTGGGGTGATGTGCAATGAATTCTTTTCCTAGAATCGCTGGATGTTTTGTAAAATCATCGAGTTCAAATATTTACCATATTATACGCAGAAGGGGCGAAAAGAACTTCAGCTGGAAACACAGAATGTTCTTCCGTTTGTTTACACTCTGTAGCGTTCGTGTCAGTAAATTAGTGAATGTGCTGAGTGACATTCCGCGTGTAAGAATCGCAAAATTGGAGACTTGTCCGATCTTGTCGGCGTGCGTTTAGCTGCAGCATCTCTGACAAACCTGCCACGTCATCAGGTGTATCGGGAGCGACAGTTTCTAAGGTTATGTCGGCATATACGAACCACGGGAAGACTACATCAGTGAAGTGGAACAGTGGGCGGAAGTCAACATTGCCAGAAACAGATCGTCGTACACTGAGAAGGAATGTTTCGAAAAATCACGGAAATACTGCAGTACAGGTAACAACATAACTCAATATTCATCTCGAATACTCTATTTCCACAAAACCGTCTGACGTGAGCTTCACAAATCCAACATCAAAGGTAGGGCTGCAATTGCTAAACCTCTGATTCCAGAAAGCAATGCTCAGATGNGAGGTTATGTCGGCATACAGGAACCACGGGAAGACAACATCAGTGAAGTGGAACAGTGGGCGGAAATCAACATTGCCAGAAACAGATCGTCGTACACTGAGAATCACGGAAATACTGCAGTACAGGTGACAACATAACTGAATATTCATCTCGAATACTCTATTTCCACAAAACCGTCCGACGTGAGCTTCACAAATCCAACATCAAAGGTAGGGCTGCAATTGCTAAACCTCTGATTCCAGAAAGCAATGCTCAGATGGGCAAACGGTGGTGTCACGACCAAAAAACCTGGGCATCAGACAGCTGGAAACGCGCGCGTGATATGTCAGATGAGTCGTCCTTCACGCTGTTCAACATCAGGAAGAGTTTGCGTTTGGGGAATACCCAAGGAAGCCTACAATCCACAATGCTGGTTCCAACAATGAAACACAGGGGAGGTTCTGTTTGGACAGCAATA